AAGGCTCCGCTCTTTCATATTCGGTATGTGATACAGGCTGGGCTGGCATCCTACCATTTAGTAGTTCTTCAAAATATCCTTTCCATCTCTCAGCTCTTGACTCTGGCTCCATTAACATTTGTCCGTCTTGGTCTCTGATTGCAATCCATATAGGGTTGAATTGCTTATACTGTTTAACGATTCTAAAAAAACTTCTAGTTCTTGTGTATGGTCCTTCTCTGCGATTTGAAGTATGTTGCTAAAGAATTTTCTTTTTTCCCTTTGAAGGGTGCCTTGGCAGATTTTACGTTCCGGAATGTAAACTTCTTTAGTTATTTGAGAGTTGTGCTTAATAAAGTTATCTATCGCTTTACGGCGTTTGTCTACAACAATTCTACATACATCATTATTCCATGTATTTTTTGATCTCTTTAGCTCACCAATGCTAGTGGCCGCTGCTTTTTTGACAGCATTACTCACTTTTTCCCAATCCAGGTCTACGTCCATTTGTACATTATTCTCTTTAAGATTCTTCATGACTTCGTTCTCATAGTTTTTTCTGACGTTTTCATCTTTAAGTAACTCTAGGTTCAATTTAGCTCTTTTGCCTTGTTTTAATCTCGATTGGCTTTTTAGCTTTGATCTAAGTTTGGCGATCACCAAGTAGTGATCCGTGTCACAATCGGCGCCTCTATGACTTCTTACGTCGTGAATGGTACTACGATATCTAGTTTGTATGAGGACGTGATCTATTTGGTTCAGGGTTTTGGCATCCGGTGATCTCCACGTGACTTTATGAATATTTTTATGTGGGAACGTGGTACTACTAACAGTCAACCCATTTGATATTGCAAACGCTATCAATCGTTGACCATTGTCGTTGCTGTTACTATGCAAACTTTCCTTCCCTATACAAGGGAAGTACTGTGGTTCCCGTCCACATTTTGCATTGAAGTCACCTAATACAATCTTTATCACGTTCCCAGTAATACTCTCATATGTTTCAGTCAGTTCGTCGTAGAAGATGTCTTTCGCATTGTCATCTTTTACTTCTGTTGGTGCATGACCATTTATTAAACAAATATTAATTGGGCTAGTGTTGATGGTTAATGTCGATATCCGTTCGGATACTGGATTAAATTCTTTAATGCACGGTTCAAATATCCTATGAACTGCAAAACCGCTACCGAAGTGATGCGTATTGTCCATTCCTGAGAAGAAAATTGCGTACTCTCCTATCGTTAGTTGTCCTACTCCCAACCATCTTATTTCTTGTATGGCCGCTACTTTAATGTTGTAGGTGTTAAGGACATCGACTAAATTTTGACTTGCACCTGTTTTATACAAACTTGTCAGATTCCGTGTCGCAATCTTAAATTCAGCATTCCGTTTCCAAAAACCAGTCTTGAATCCATGTAATCTTGTCCAAGGCTTAGGTGTAGTTGGTTTCACAACATTAAAAATTTTAAATTGGGCTTTATCTCTGTTGATATTATTAATCTCTATTATTTTTAAAATAAATGTATGTATAAAATTAAAATTATTCTGTTATTGTTCGGTCTTCTGTCGTCTCTCATTAATTACTAAGCTACTCCCGGTTTTCCCGATACTCCATCGTTCAATTCAATGAAGCGGTCACGATCCAGGCCAGCTCGGTACCCCAATTCAAGTGGCGATTCAGACGCATAATTGAAGTGTTAAACGTCTCCGACGTGATATTCCTTACGCTATAAGGTGAGCAATCCCCGATATATCGGTAACGAGATTCGCCATTACCGGTAATCAGTACATCTTAAACCATCCAAAAATCAACCATATTTAAACTTACACTCCTACGTTCCGTACTTAATCATCCGACCAGACGTGTTTGGCTATTCTATTTACCAAACACTTCTTGTTATTCTTGTTTGTAATCATATTACTACTAATACTCTTGTATTAGGTTTTCATTTTTTTTTGTTATATCATGTTGCACGGTTTAATTGTAACACTCTACGCGTTCACCATTTAAAAACTCTTGTATTCCGCACATATACCAAACCTACTTAAAATAAACTATTATATGTAAATTAATATTTAATATTTGTAAAATAAAGAAAATTGTTTTATATTAAAAAAATGTGTTAAATTTTATGCAACGACGGCAAATCGCCGGCTCGTTACAATATGTGTACCGCTTCTTTTTGTTTCACGTATCAAGTTGCCAACCCCTGATATAATATAATAAATGATATAAGTAGTGACGAAGAAGACACGATACTCATCCTAGCTCTTTTGTCGGAAGCTGAAGAAAAAGAAATATATACAATAAAAAGACAGTGGGTTCGTAGCATGCATATGGCAAGGAAAAAAGAAGGAGAGTTCTGTACGCTATTCCCGCATTTAAAACAGGACAATAAAAATTGTTTTTAATATTTTCGGACGAATTACAAAAAATGTTGTCAATTTTTAGAGCATATAAAACCCGATTTACAAAAAACAAGCACAAACTTTCGAAAATGTATACCAGCAAACGAACTGTTAGCAATAATGGTGGGGTCAGTGTTTCTGAAGATAATGTTTAATTGATTATAATTTAATAATAAATATTTTTAATTTGAATTTAAGGATATTTTTTTTATTTTAATTTATTACTATTCAATTAAAAAAATAAAATATGCACGTGAAAAACTGTAATATTAATGTAACGAGTAATTTTTGTATACGATTTACAAAAATATTAATTTTTATAATTATGTAAATGAATATTTCTGCACTTCACAAATAATATATTCATCTGATATATTTTTATTGTTCGTGTCAAAGTTCTTTTTATCGAAAAAATATTAAAATGTTTATAATAAAAAAGATTTATTGTTTCAGACTTTTAATTGTGTACACAACTACTAAGTACAAAACGATGATAACCAAAAGTAAGTAAGTATATTTGTGTCAGTGCGCATGCGGTTGCGATCGGAATGCTTCGGAATCCGTTAAAATATTGTCGACAAACAATTTCGTTCCATTTCGGTCCGATCCAGTTTGCGGGACCTTAAGTTTATTAATTTTTTCTATTCTGATCCGATCGGACGGTTCCGTTTCGTTCCGATCTACTGTGCGGAAACCTTAACACCACATTCTTTTCATTTAATTTGTAAATATTAATAGGTAACAACTAAAAACTATATTATCATCATCACCCAACGAATTTTCACTCGACGAAATATTGGAAACTACTCGGCTACAACAAGGTAGACTAAAAAGATATCGTTGCTTCGCAGTAGCTTCAGAGTAGCTCAGTGTGTGGCAATAAACTATAAGTTATAAACTTTAAGTACCATGATTTACACCGAAATCTCATGAGAACTGTATTTTTTATATTTGTAAACAGGTTCCACATATATCACCAAAAAGTAATAAAAAAGATACGAAGTGGGTTGAAAAACAAAGAGATAATTTTCCATTAGATAAATATAAATAAAAAATTAATTTTTACAATAAGATTAGTTTTTCAAAAGGTGTAACAAACTTGTACAAGTTTGAATGAAATGTAGCAGACTTACAGGTCTGTGTATATATCGTAATACAACGATACCTTCAGTTATCACCTAATGAAAAAACATTACAAAACAGATATTATTATAATGTTACCATAATTCTTAGCTCTCCCTGCATCAGGATTTTTGTTTTGTTTAGGAGTTGTTAAAGGTAACATTTCAATTAAAAAGTGTGTCCCCTGAAATCGGATGTATCTTAAGGCCTGCAAATTACCACTCAATGTAATTTCAAGCCGAAAAGACTATGTGCCCTTTACATACGTGGCCAAAACACAAAAAAAAAACTGCTCTTAATATTTTCGTTACTAACCAACAACAACCGTGTTGTAATAGTTTTGTAGTATCCGCGCAAACCAAATTATATTACTCACTATTAACAAGCACTATTGCGAGACTGAAAAAATAATTAATTATTTTTAAAAGTTTCAATTTTTCTTTCGCATTCGCTTGTTGTTTGTATTTGCATTCGAAATGGAAAACAGCAGTGGTGTTGCAGATCCGACACGCGAGAGCAGAGCCGTTGCGATGGCTAAGTTAAACTCGTTGCCGAGAAATAAGTACGCGGCTGATATCGGCTGCGAATTCGCAGAACTGTATTATTCCATGATGCGTACTTCACCAGAGTACGCAAATGAATTTTACGACGATCAAGGCGAGTTCCAAACGGTGTTTGAAGACGGGTCGGCCATCGTCGTCAGGACCCGGTTACAAGTAAAGCATATTTTGATGCGACCTATGTCCGCGTGCGACTATATAGTTAAATCGATGATTCCGATGTCCTGTGGCGGATCGTCTGGCGGCGTGATGGTTATGGTCACCGGTGAGCGTTTTACGCAAAATTTCCTCTTGGAGCACCGTCCAGAAAGGATGTTGGGTTACGCCATTGTGGTGTCCTTAACACAATATATTCCCGAAGGACCAGTCACCTACAACCAGACGCCACTAACAACATTCGGTGGTGGTGACAGTCAGGCTATCACTGGCGCCGAAAAATCGGTCAACACGTCCATCCTTAAAAAACCGGATTACTCGATTTCCGCTATCATGGATTTAGACTTCGGCCACGCCGCCGAAGTCACAAAAAATACGGTAATGTCTACCGGAATTACGCACATAAGACAACAAGATACCGCCTTTGAATTCGAGTCCATCCCGGAACACGCCTCTGAAAAAACCGCTACCGGTAGTGTTATAGAACACGAAACCGACACAGAAAATACTACCTGCTCAGAACCCACCTCTGCAAATATCGCAACCGGTAATGTTATAGAAATCGCCAACGTCACTGAAGATACTTCCATCCCGGAACACGCCTCTGAAAAAACCGCTACCGGTAATATTAAAAAACCCGAAACTGACACAGAAAATACTACCTGCTCAGAAACCGCCTGTGAAAAAACCGCTACCGGTAATATTAAAAAACCCGAAACTGACACAGAAAATACTACCTGCTCAACACCCACCTCTGCAAATATCGCAACCGGTAATGTTATAGAAATCGCCAACGTCACTGAAGATACTTCCATCCCGGAACACGCCTGTGAAAAAACCGCTACCGGTAGTGTTATGGAACACGAAACCGACACTGAAAATACCTTTATCCCAGAAACCGCCTCTGAAAAAACCGTTTCGGAGAACAAAGAACCTAAAACCGCCAACGAAATCACAACCTTCGCAGATCCTGTTTCTTTAAAGAACACTCAAGAGAACACAGAACTCAAACCCGGCACTGACAATAAGAAAATTGTAAAACAAGTAATTAATTTAGTTCTCTTTTCTGCTGTCTGCTGGGCTGCGTATAAATACCTAAAATAAATGCGTTGCATTTTAACCAAAAAAAGAGGGGTTCGGTAAATGGTATGGCACTACTTATCTGGTCGGACGATTAGTTACGGAACGCAGGAGTGTAGGTTTAAATTCCAGCTATCCGGTAGCCGTTCTTTCATCCATATTAACTGGCACAGTCTGTGGATTACTACATGTAACTCCTTACCTCCATATTTTATGAGTTCTGTTGGAATATCATCGGTACCTGGTGCTTTCCAATTCTTTAGGCCACTTATTGCAATTGTTACTTCTTCTAGACTAATATCTTCTACGTAAGGCTCCGCTCTTTCATTTTCGGTATGTGATACGGGCTGGGCTGGCATGCTACCATTTAGTAGTTCTTCAAAATATCCTTTTCATCTCTCAGCTCTTGACTCTAGCTCCATTAACATTTGTCCGTCTTGGTCTCTGATTACAATCCATATAGGGTTGAATTGCTTATACTGTTTAACGACTCTAAAAAAACTTCTAGTTCTCCCTTGTGTATGGTCCTTCTCTGCGATTTGAAGTATGTTGCTAAAGAATTTTATTTTTTCCCTTTGAAGGGTGTCTTTGCAGATTTTA